TAGGATTGTAGCATATTTCATTAGCATTGTGTTGGGGCAATGGGGACAGGCGGGGCTGGAAAATTCCCCCTTGTCCAAAGTGGGGAATGACAGAAAAAGTTTGAGAACCACTGAGCTAAACCATACCATGTCTGACTGAGTTATTTCAAAGTCTTCTCTCTGAAATACGGGGAGCCAGTGGAACGACTTTAGAAGTGGGTTGTTATATAATTTTTTCCAGATCCTTTTGAGACATAGTCCTTTAATCCTGATGTTCTTTATGTGCTAGAAGGCTGACTTGGTTTAGCTCTGTGTGCTTCTGAAGGTTCAGAACTGTCCATCTCTACACCCAGATTTTGAGTCTTATTGATGGTTCCCAGCTTTATTAGCTAAAGCTTTGTGCTAACTTTTAAGCACACTTTTTTTTGGTCCAAAAATTATTTCTTCAGCCTTGTTTTGTTTCAGCTGCAGCAAAGTTTGCTCCATCCATGCATAGATTTATTTTATGCATGTATCCAGATTCATAGTCAACTTATGATATTGTAATATATAGCTGTGTGTCGTCTGCATAATTACGGTAACCTATGTTGGTGTTTATTAATTTCTGAGTTACGGGAAGCATGTAGGTATTCAAGAGGAAGGGCCCTTAGATGTACCCTTGGGGAACGCCACGTAGGATTTATGGGGTCTCTGATGTAAAGTTTCCTAATGACACTAAAAAAGACCTGTTCTATAAGAAGTCCTTCACATTACTCTCAATTACCCTTTCAAACACAACTTCATTTTTTTTGTCATTGTAATCATATACTGATAGTTTATCGAACTATGGAGATTGGAAAGATAATTTTTAACTTTATATCCACAGAGTTTCATCAGATGCAGCAGATTGGGGTTTATATCTTTTCTAGTGTTTAGTTGTATTTTGATTTCCTGTTTACAATTGTTAAATTCCCCCAAAGTTTGTCTGCCAAAGAAAGAGATTTCCAGATTCTGCTTTTACTTTAGGATCATTGCTCTTTGTCGGTTCGCTAGATGCTAGCCACAAGCCATTTTAGTCACACTGAAAATAGGAAGAATGCTCGTCCTGCAAAGCATTCCCTTTTTATGGGGGAGGAGTTCCTTTTCTAAACCGTCAACTCGTTCTCTCTTCCAAACTGTTTAGGGTCATTTGCAAAACATCCCACAGGTGATGTAAAATAAAGAAATGAGCCCAACAAGATTAAAGATTTAGGATGCAGATGGAAAACAGTGATTCATTTTTTAATCCTACTCATATTATTATTAGCTGCTATTAACAACTCACAAAATTTGAAGTGAGGTCAGGAGATACTGAAAAAGTCTCCAGAATTGCTGCTGTTCTCTGTTGTGGGACGGTTATTCCTCTTACAGATGTTGGACACAGTTCAGTATAGTTAAATAACAAACATTCAGAATTTTACAAAATTATGAAATTGTGGAATGCAAATCTCCATGCTACACTAAGAAAAGAAACTCATGACTGCATTTCATTATGGTTGCTCATGGAATTAGATTTACAGATTTTATAACCCTTTTTCTAGACAATAGTTCTTCTGTGCTGAAGCTTTATGCAACATTTTCCAGCAATGCAGCATTTCATACCATACAGCCCCATCGTTCTATTAGATTTAGATCTAGGGCAAGTAGCCACTCTCAGTCCCGTCTCATTTTCTTTTCTGTCCCCCATTTAGGTGCATGTTGCTGATGGCTTCCCCGCCAGCTATGGACACTGTGACTGACTCGTGCCCCACGGTACACCAAAATGGGACCGCCCATCGAGAATCTTCAGACACAAGACAAGCTGCTCCTGTTCTGAGGCTTCATTTCTACCACAGCAGCCAGGGAGCAGCCGAAAGCAGCTTCCTCAGCTACCCACCTGGGGACTATGTGGCTGAGGAGCTGTGTATAGATGCAGCCAAGGCGTGCTGTGAGTACTCCAAACTGTCTGAACCCCCATGAAGCACTCCAGTTGTGAAGATTTTTGCAACCTGCACTTCATCATATTCTTTTTCATGCTCAGATATTATTTTGAATCTGTTTATGCATAAATAAAACATACGTAGGTTTAGCAGTGCAAGCTGTGAGTCAGTGCAAATGTGGTGTTGCGTATGAACAGTAGGGCTGTGTGTGTGTTTGTTGGCGGAGGGGGGCAGAGACTAGATATACCTGCATGTCATGTGTTTAATAGTAAACCAAAACACAACTGACATTTTAGACAAACTTTATTGACCTTATTTTCACCTGTATTGGTACTTTAAACAGTAGTTTTTCTGGCGCATGTCTTGAGACTTTGATAGTTAATTTTCTCAATGCCCCTCATTGAATAGCTTAATAGATTGCGCCACTGCAGAACTTGTAATCGATCTGATCATTCAGGTCTCAGTATGAACTGTAGCACAAACATACAATTAATTGTATAGGGTTTAGTTTAGTTTAGTTTAGTTTTATTTAATTTTTTTTATCCTTCAGGTATATCACCCCTGTACTACAGCCTTTTTAGCCTTTTCCGAGAGGGTGACAGCACGTGGTTTTCTCCCAACCACATCTTCCGACTTGATGAACTGGCTTCTGAAGATCTGTTTTTCAGAATACGGTAGCACGCTTAATTACTTCCTTTTTTCCCCATGATAGTTTTTCTGTATTCTCCAAATATCATTGTGACTTACTTGTATGGCTCACTGCAGGTACTACTTTCCTGGCTGGTACAGTAATGGGGCATCGCGGGCTTATCGATATGGGGTCAAAAAGGGGTCAGAGAGTCCTGTCCTTGATGATAATGTAATGTCCTACCTCTTCTCTCAGGTGAGTGCATTTTTGTAGCCCTTTATATTACTTCAAAAGGTGTTTTTATATGAATACAAAATACACAAGAGCATGGAATGTCTCCATAATGTCAAGTATTGTAGATTTGAAATAAGCAGTATTAGTTGTTTAAAATATCAGTGGTTGCTATAGTTGTTTCAATGAGTTACTGCAGAGTATTGTATGGTGGAATTTTATTCAGTTCGAATTGATTCTCGATTCTGATTACCATTTGTAAATGAGGTGTTTAACCAGAGTTCTGTCTGGATTACATCTGTAATCCTGAGTCCGGCGATGTTTAATCATGGATTCAATCGTGGATTCTTCTCCACTGTCTTTCAGCAGACCTGGCATCAAAACTTCTAAATTGAAAATAAAAGATGTTAACGATTCCATGGGGAAGTGAACAAAGAACAACCCACGCTATGTGAAAGAAAAATATATTTAACACATGTTCTATTTATTGGATTAGGAAACCTCACTTCTGACAGTAATTGTTGATACTTGCATGGAAAATGTACCTTAGTTAGCAAAAAGGCTGTCCGCATTATTACAGTCAAATCTTAGCTGGATAATAAAGGGTCATTCTGTTCTATTTAAGCATCAGTTAGATGTTTAAATCGTTCAACAGTGTCTTATTTTTTACCTTTTTAATTAGTGAAGCTTTTTCCTGATGAATTTATCTTCCTGGTGAAGATAAAATTCTGTCTTGTCTTTGTTTTTTCTGTAAAAAAAAAAAAAAAAATCTCTACAGAATCTCAATGTTATTTGTAAATGTAGGCAAAGACTATTCAAATCCATCTCACTTTTTGATATTATTCTAAAAAAAAAATCAGTTAAGGGTGTGTTGTTGTTGTTGTTTTTTCTGTGTATTTTCTCATATTTTTAAAGTCAAGCTGGATCTTTAAACCAATGATTCACAATCCTGCTTCCTTCATATTCCCCAAAAAAGCATCTAGAAATGTCATTCTACCTTGGTGAAGAATTTTATGCTCTTCGTTTAATTGTATTTCCCCAAGTCAGGATTTTAACAAATTAAATTTGTACAGCTAGGATTCAAATGGGATTTAAAGATAGGGGTGTTTCTTTAAATAGTCATCAACTATTTATTATTTGTTGAAAAGTAGCAGTTGGGTTCTTGGTGAACACAATTTGTACACCATGAGCACAGTGCAAATGTGATATATTTTAGAATCCTTGTTAGATAATTGTACGTTTAAATGGGAAAATGCCCCAAAATTTGACTTTTACAGAAATAATGTGCTTATGGATCTAACTTAAGATGTTAGCTCCCCTGAACAAAAAGTTTATTATTATTGCAGCATTCACACTGAAATGTGTCTCTGAAGGCCATGATAGGTAGAGATGTTCTCATAGAAATAATCCGCTGTGTGAATGCAAACACCCCCCATAAAAATCTATTTCGTGTCTTTAGTGCATGGGGGCAATGGACCCCATGCACTAAAGCAGTGCATGGGGTGTTGCCAACTCAGCGACTTTTCAGACCCGTCCAGCGACTATTTTTCAAAAAAGCGACTAGCGACAAATCTGGCGACTTTTTACGGTGTCACTGGCGACTTTTGGAGACTCTTACGTGAAAGCATGTATCGTTCCTACTCTGCCGTGGGGCGCTTACCCCACCCCAACCCCGTTCTCCCGCTCCCGCAGGAGTCCCTCTCAGCGCTGCAGTCGGAGCCGCAGGATGTTTACCCTCAGCGTCCAGACTGCAAATGAAGCGACCATGTTTGTTTCGTTTTAAAGTGGGGAAACGTAACGTTAGTTTCTCAGGTAGCTCATCTGATGCTTTCCTTACCGTGTTAGTAGGTTACAGACAGTGATAAGGTTGCCTACTTATTTTTCTTTTAATTTCATTTGAATTAGCTTAAGCAGTGTTTATATTTTCTTTATAAATAAATTAACTTGCAAATTATGAGGGCAAGATAAAGTAAAGAAGATCCTGCAATTTATGGAAGTAAAGCAGAATAAAATCCAGCAAGATCAGTAATATGTCAATTAATTATATGCCACATTCCCATGTAAATATCTGTTTTTGGAGGATGTGTTTTTTAGCACCCCTAGTTCTCTCATTTTTATTCCAAATACAATTTATAATTTGAATCACAGGGCTATTTTTATCTCTATGGTTAAGTATTTTCTCAAGTAGCAACTTTAACTGCTATACTTTCCTGCCTTAAAAGGCAGAACTCTTCTAGTCTTAAAAAAACTCCTTTGATGAAATGGGGGGACCTATTGTTTGAACCCCTTATAAACAAAAATGTCTTTTTTTGCGCTTTATGAAACAAAGTACTCTATATTTTGTGGATGTACAGCTACATTTCTCATGTAAGTTTGCGTAGTTTTAACACAAACATTTATTTTTCATATTGCACCAGTACAGCTAATGAGCAACCTGTACTTGTGTGCTTGTTTGTTCTGTCTAAAATGTTTATTTTGGAATAAAGAGGTTAATATAAAAAATATTTTTTGTCCGATTCATCGATTAATCGAAAAATAATCGGCCGATTCATCGATTTTTAAAATAATTGTTAGTTGTAGCCCTATTTGCACCTCAGATGCTCAGGGAAAGAGAGTGAATCCATGTGAACTTCTGCTCTCACAAGAACAACTTCCTTAGCATGAGCCATAGCTTTGTGTAGCAAATAGCGTGAGTGTATTTTTGCATTAAGCCCACACTGTACCAGGATCACAGACACACCTTTGTCGGTGTGAGCCTGGTGTAAAGTTGAAAGCAGCCTGAACTTTAGTAGAGTAGAGTATGTTGAGTAGAAATATATTATACTATCTTTGGGTAAAATAAATCGATGTCTGTGTTAGCTCTTTGACCCTTCTCACAGGCTAATTCACACATTGCTCGTTTGCACCTGTAAAACCAGCATATCTGCTTCCGTTAGTTGTGGCCAGATGTTAACCACTTTTATTGCTTTGTGGAAACAGCAGATTGAAGAAAAGTCAACATTAAAGACAGTCTTTTGGTTTTCTGTCTGTAACATACCGGCATCCTGATTGAATTACTTTAAATTGGAATGTCATAGGAACAAATTACAATCTAACTGGATTGACGTAAGAGTTACTTTTTAGGTAAACCTAAATTAATGTATTTCTTTCAACCAAATTAGGGGCCAGGCTTTCATGTTTATGATTAAAGTAAGTTGTTGCAAGAAGTTTGTTGCGTTATATCTTAAATTGGGGGGAAAAGCAGGAGTAAAATCAGGAGCTTTTTGTTATAGCATTTGTTATAGAAAGACCTTTGCAAATTTTTTGTAACAATAATTAAATCAATTAGTTTAGATCCTGACAGTCTGGAATTAAGACCAGTGTAGATGTGAAAATGGAGACGGAGCGGGAGAAATCATCCCCTTTGTAGTTCTAGTCTGTTTAGTGTTCACATCGACTTATTAAAGTCAAAACAAAAGTTGCAAATGTGACGTCAGGTAGACTGATAGGAAGCTCATTCATTGGTTAGTTGTGGTTAGCAGCCATCTTACGGCGTCATGTGGGCCTGCAGGGGGAAAATCAAAACAAAGTTGGTTCTAGTGACTGCAAGCACGTCATGTCGTACCTCTTTCCAAGTCTTTTTTATTTACCACTTGGATCAAAAAGGCTTTAAAGGTGCAGAGAAATTCCTGTCTTTTAAAGACCCGCTGCATGTATTCCTTACACTGTGCTCTGATTTTCAACACTGAGCAACAGTCCAGTTCTTTTTTCTCCTTAGCCCAGGTTAGAGGCTTGGGGCCCATCTGCAGGATTCACTTATGGGTATTGCACATTTTCTAACCACACCTTTTTCTTTCATTCAGCTTTCTGTAAACGATGACATTCTGAGTCAGTGACTGTCTTCTGGACAGTTATCAAGTCAGCAGTCTTCCCTATGATTGTGTAATATGTATTATTACCATTCAGTGCAGGTCTACCAGCTCATGTAGAATTTGGACAATTGAGGATTATTGATTTATTATAAAGGCAAATTGCAGCTGTTAAATAAAAATTTTGATTTTGTAATTTTGTTTACAAATAGCACAGTGCTCTGGTATTATAACTTTACTAACTTATTTTTTGCAGTTGATACTATTTTATTCACTTTAAAAGAGCATTTGCCTCTATTTGATGATATAATTTGCTTTTTTTTTTGGCCCGCAAAGGCAGCTTAAATGGTGTTTGCCAGCTGGACCTGACCTCATGGCCTTTGGTTTGAGCAATACGACTTGAACTCTCTTAGCTGCATCATGACTTATAACTACTTTACGATATCTTTATTTTCTTATGATGCTTTTTTTGCCAATTTGCTTCCTTCACTTTAGGCTTGTCCCGATCCGATCCACGTATCGGATCGGACGCCGATATTGGCAAAAAAATGCGTATCGGCAAAGCATGTAAAAATGCCGATCCAGACTGCCGATCCAGTTTTTAAAAAAAATCTGGTCTGTATTTTCCAGTTTCACCGATTGAAATGATCCATTCCACTATTTTACGCCAGTGTTCCCCGAATCCGGTCCGCATTTTCCAGCACACCTTCAACACACCCACAGGTCTTTTTGGGTCTGTCTCCCGGCCTAACCATTAAAACAGCTGAATTGGAAGATAGCGGGGAAAATGTCAGCCGTGTGGGATTATTTTATCCTGCACGATGTGTAGATGGAGACTAGGTGTGGAGGAGATTGGGGAGTATAAGGCATTTTGTGTAATAGTTCACTATTATTTGCACTGATTTTTTTTTAAGCAGTGTCTTTTTTCAAGAGTACAGTCCTGATTCTTAGTTAATAGAATATTTTCCATATTCTGTTTTGCATTTTTATTAAAACTTACAGTAATACTTGCACCTTTAACTGTTTACGGTTTTACTTTTCACTGTGCAATTTCAGATTGCTATTCATAAATTTGTCCAGTTTGTGTTTATCTCTTAATAAACAGGTAAGTTTGTTGTTACCAATCATTGTGTTTTATTCAATCTCACCTAATTCAGCTGGCTAGATGTTATCAATAGTACTAAAACCCTTTTCAACATGAGTCTTACAACTAAGGCTAAATACTTTAACTTAAACTTAAATAAATGCTCGGATAGGCTGGTATCGGCCAGTATCGGTATCGGATCGGAAGTCCAAAAACCTCTCTACTTCACTTCATTTTTTGTTACCTTTTTTTATTCAGCCGAATTATTGGTAAAGTTATTCTCATTTTTACAAACCACACAGAGTGAAGTCTTCACTAAAATATAATATAGTTGTTTTTTTATTGCAGCCACTTAGAACACTACAGAGTTGGGATTCTGGTTTAGTGCAATCTAGATTAAAGGAAAAGTCCAGTCAGCAAGGAATAACCAATGGGTCATTATTTATACCTAAAACTAATAGATTTGCGGTGATTCAATGATTTTAGCATTAATCAGTCAAAAAATTAAAATAATAATTTTTGTCACGATCACTGAGACCAGGACCATCCATTTTTGCCCAAATATAGTAACCCCTCGGCAGTGACGTCACGGCGCGGTAAGCCTAGCGCCATTCACCCCTGCAATCAACAACAATTATTTAAGGTTTCGAGGGGACTTCACTACTGAAATTTGCAAGAGCTATAGTTAAACTGACAATGCCCACGTGCATGGCAGTTGGATGTTGATCAACAGCTGATACATCACAGTGACGTCACAGACCGGTAGGAGGCAGTAGTGTTCTTTGATTCACAGGGATGTCTCCAGTAAAGCACATTCAAGTGAAATTACTCTTAATTAAAGCTTTGTTATTCAACAGTATGTAATAATTTCATATTTAAAGTACTTTCAGAAGTTTGAATTTTGAATATGACCGGACTTTTTGTTTAAAAGAGGTTAAGCTATACGTGCTTGCAGACTGTTGAAGAGAAATGTTTGTAGAATGCTTTAAGCTGCAGGTTCGTTTCTCATCTTCTCCTTTTACCTGCAAATCCACAGTTTGACTAACTCCCCGTCTCTGCAGCAGCTTCCCATGCAGTCGCAACTTTAATGGCAGGGCTGAGAGTTCTAGAACTGTATACTGTATGGAAAATGTCTCTGTATGTGATAATGTAGAGTCTTTAATGTAAATAAATTTTCTACCATAGATTAATGTTATTTATCTGTTTCTTGCCCTTTGATTAATGCATCATAAAATGCTTTGGAAGATAAAAATCGTAAAGTCCAAAGCCAGGTTGATTTAGAGCTCAAACATCAGATGTTGACCTGAGACTTTATTTTCAATAGAACTTTGTTCTTGATATGGAAATATTAAATATCTTTCTTTTGTTGTTTTTTTGTTTGTTTTTTTAAGTAGTTGGATATCTACTCATTATCTCTGTTTTAAATAAAATGATTCAAACAGGAATTATATACAGGGAGAGTTGTTTATCTTTGTTTCTCTTTTTGACTGTCTGCAGTGGAGGAATGACTTTGTGAATGGAGTGGTGAAGATTTCCAACTCCCACGAGTCACAGGAAGAGTGCCTTGGTATGGCGGTGCTGGACATGACGAGAATAGCTAAGGAAAGGCAGATGTCCCCTTTGGACATCTATCACAATACAAGGTACTTTAAAAACATTAGACGATGTTGATTTCTCCCCATCCTGGAAACATTTTATTGACTAACTGTGCGGAAGGAACACAGTGTTTACATTTCAAACTAATGTTGATTTAACTCTGTTGAATCCCTTCTAGCTACAAGTCCTTCTTACCAAAGGGTATGAGAAATCAGATCCAGGATTGTAGTTTTTTAACTCGTAAGAGGATCCGTTTCCGCTTCAAGCGCTTCATCCAGCAATTCAGTCAGTGTCGCACCACGGTCCGCGATCTGAAGCTCAAGTACCTCATCAGCATCGAGTCACTAGAAAAAGCCTTCTACACAGAGACCTTTCAGGTCAAAGATCCAGCTAGCGGACCGCTCATCATTCTGGTTGCTGCCGACACTGGAATCCAGTGGTGTCGAGAGAAAGTAAACGATTCTGACGAGGTTTGTAGCCAACATTAGGTTTCTTTGTCTAATCCTCTTGGCAGCATAGACTGCAACACAAAGAGCCTCATGTAATAAATATACAAACAAAATACTTTGAGAATTCATAGCCTTTTAAAAAGTCATTGCATTATTTCTCAGTGTATCTTTATGTCATTCATCACATATGTTTTCAGTCTTTAGATGTGAAAGGCTGATAGAACTGAAAAAACGCTTTGATTGTCATAGAAGGTGGATTTAAGATTATTTTTCAGTGCCACTGACCACTTTTTCCAAATTTTCTTACTTTTATTTCTGCAAAATCCTTTTCCCCCTCAGTTCACAACTAGGTTGCAAAAAAGTGCTTTGAAGATATGTGACAAGACATGTAAAACCTCAATGGGGAGTGGATTCTTGCAACACACTACTGTTAAACAAGAAATGTGATAAAGACTAAATCGCCCTTTAAGTGGTTTTTGATGTCAGTTTTCTATATCAGAGTAAATTTCTGCTGTTGGTTCAGGAGCTGCAGACATTGTGTGACTTCCCTGACGTCACCGACATCAGCATCAAGCAGGCAAGCAAAGATGGCGCCACAGAAAGCCGGTTGGTCACAATCAATAAACAAGATGGGAAAAATCTGGTAATTTCTTGATTTAAACTTGTTTCTGTCTTTAAAGTAAAACATGATTTAACTTTATTATATCTGACATTATCCAGTGGGAGTCGATTGTCCTGTTTGGATTGTACTTTTCGATAAGGCTGGTAGCGGATGGGAAGAAACTGTTCTCACACCACAAGAACAGTTTCTTCCCATCCGAGACCCCAGTGACAATGACACTGCCTCATTCTCTCCCCTGTTCAGGACCTAGAGCTACACCAGCGTAGCATCTCCAGCATCTCTACTGTGTATATAGGAGATATATATACCGTAAATTCTCTAATATTGGCCTGTATTCCA